CATTTTGTTAGATAGGGCCCAATGTTCAAGTCTGTCAAGATCTTTTTGGATCTTGAGCTTGTCTTCTGGTGTATTGGCTGTTCCTGACAGCTTAGTGTCATCTGCAAATTTGATGAGTTTCCCTTCTATTCCCTCATCTAGATCATTTTATGTTAGGTGGATGCTTGTCAACCTAACATTTGGTAAAATGAAACCCGGATTGTGACATTATTGCACTGTATATTTGCCTGCCTCCTCAATGTCAGCCAAATTGTAGGGATTACGGTATATAACACAATGTCCCCACTTCAGGTGTTACTGCTATACTAGATGTTACCAGAAATATGGGAGGGAAGAGAATTAGAGCAGTACTGCTCTCAGCTCTGTAATGATTAGATCATGTCTGATTTAGCATCTTTCAAACTTCATTTTATATTCCCCTTGCACAAACTAGCTATCATGAGCAGTCAGGATTAAAATTTATTAAATAAATAAAGAAGCTAATCTATTCCACATATTTAAGAAATTGTGGCTCATAGGGCTACATTGCATGGCATGTATTTATGTTGCCCAACCAATATAAATTTTAATCCACAGTTAGCTTTTCTTTCACTAAATTTTGAGAACAAAATTTCTTTTCCAAGAGGACACTTCCTATGATCAGTGATCAGATAGACTCAAAAATAAGAGAGAGCATTTTCATTGAGGAAAAACATGATCATATTTTCCATCCTACTTCTCTTTACAGTGGGATTTTGCAAAACTCATAGGAACCAAGTTGCTGCTAAATCCTTTTGCTACATTTTGCTAACAGTTTAGGAATTTGGGAGATTTTTTTTCCTGAATATCACCTTGTTTGTGTTCATGTTTTAATATTAAAAGATAACAATTACAAAGTTCAAAGCAAGTTATGTATCTTGTTGAAGTTAGTATTTATTCTCAACTTTTCATTTTCTAAAATCAACAAATGTAGACACATTAGAAAGCCTTAGCACAGATATGCCTTTTAAATTTCAATCTCTATTGCCAGATATTGGGAGTTGTGGTAGAGCATGTTGATTTAGTTTATTGTACTCAACTGGGATAAATACAGAAGATGGGACTATTACTGTCTCTGCCTTTGAGTTGGGAGCAGCAAGGAGGGGTATGGAGGGGATGAAAGCAAATTTGCAATTCTGCTGGAAAGCTCCAAGGCCTAGGCAAAATTGTGTTTATGGCGTTAGGACATTAGTAGAAAAGTAAATTGAGGCAATCTGATAGGGAAGCAAAATTCTGTCAATCAGGCTCAAGATACTGTGCTGTGTCCATATACTTTGTTTACTGTAGGGTTTTATGAGTTGTAACCTGCCCATGCAAGCTGTTAATGAGGCTAAATCTTGCTGCTTGAGGATTGAATTACAGCACACCTCTGGGCTAATGGTTATAAACAGAAAGTCCCATTAGGGCTGCTTTCTGATTCATTCATTTGCATTTTTCCTATTGTATCAAAAACAATGATGAGTAAATAGCTACAAACAAACAATTTACATGGAAATGGATAAAATGTGCCTAATTAGTATTTTGTGCTTGTTTTATTAATGATTGTTTAAGTTAAATAGAACTCTGTTGCAGGACTCTTTACAAGCAATGCCAAAGTGTGGCTAATTCAGTCTCTTACCATAGTGGGGAAGGGGGGGAAGAATCCTAGCACTGCTGTTGAGGTCCTAAAGAAATTCAAAGTATTTTAGAATACAAGTTAATTGTAATTTTATTTACAACTTCAACTTTTGTGGGATAATACTCACTGAAAACTCTATCTATTTGTTAAGCTCAAGGGAGATCTTACTTTAACATATAATTATCTGACATTTAATTTCTAGTTAAAACTTGTCATTTTATAAGAAGATGCTGATCAGTTTTCCTGTTATTTTACTGCAGTGACAGGATTTTCTATTTCTCCTTTTCCTGCTCTTTTTTAGACCACAATCATCCTTTTCTGCAATCCTGCTTTTGTCCTTTTCATGGTATTACATCAGAAGACTAATATATCTCTCTACAAACACATACTATGACTTCTTAGAAAATTAAGGACATATTTTTTTTATAATTTTGAAGAGAACTGAAACAAAATGAAACAAATGTGTCTTCCTTTGAAATAAAAACACAACTATCCATAGTCACACTCCTGCTGATCTGCAGTATTGGTTAACTCCAAAACTTCTATTTCTTTACCAGTCATTCTCCTTAGTTTTGGCTTTTTAAAGCAAAACTACATTGCATGTTTTCTTGAGAGCATGATTATTTTTTATTTTGAAAATTACACCAAAGATGTAAGTTTATTTATTCATTAGATTTACATGGCTGCTCAATTCACATATGATGACTTTGAGAACATGAATATTGTAGACATGTATATTAGTACACATTTGAGTACTAATTCTTCATCTTCCAGGAATAACAGAATGCACCACGTTATGGGTGGATAGAACCAACACAATTTTGTCAAGAAAAAAACCTCTTGCATACTAACACAGACAATTAAATACTGGAAAATTCACTGACAATAAGAATTAGTAAGAATTGACATGGAAAATATTGTTATTAATGAGTTTTAGTGGTAGTTAGCTAGCAGGAATTATTGGGGGAGTTTTTATTTTAATAATTTGGTTAAATTGCTTGTGATCCAAGTTTTCAGTCTAACGATATATGAGAAGTCTTTCATTTGCTCAAAAGGTAAACATCTACTGCCATGTTCTTGCTTGTGTTACGTCACCTATTCTTAATTGTAGAGCTATTTTGAATATGACATTCAATATGAAGAACATTTAAAATCTGGAAAATTCATGGCAATCAACCAGGGCAGTCAGAGGCACATACTGAGAGATTTTTTCTACTCTGTGCAGTGAACAGACACAGTAGGGAAGAAGCTCATTGCCTCATCTTTTTGTATGGCAAAGATAAAATCATCATTGCTCCCAGATCTTGAACTGAAATCACAAACAGGTCAATTCTCCACTCAGCTTTAATAGCAGACTGTAGTTAGATACATAAACATATATATAGAGAGAGAGAGGATAAAATAATTTGGAAAATATAAAAAAATCAGTTTAATATATTCTCAGTAGTACTATTCAGATAATTCTTAAGGCTTCTGTCATTCACATTCTTTCTTGGAGAATTTATTAGAACTTGGAGTTCTAATAAATTGAACAGATTTAAACAGAATTCTGTCTTTGAAAAACAGCTCAAAAGCAACAACTGATCTGGAATGCAAAAACTTAATAGCCAAACACACTATTGTAGTAAAACACTTACTTTGTAACCACTGCACTGGTATTTAATTCGAGAAGCCATTCAATGTGCTAGTTACTACTTATAAAGCCCTACATAGAACAGTACTGGTCTGTATTTGGCACTATCTAATATAGCATATAGAGAGAGACTACAAGACAGAGTTGGTTAGAAGGCAGGCTTTCTCGGCAATAGCTCTGAAATTGTGGTATATGCAGCTGCCCCCTGAGGTGTGCTCGGTCAGCCTGCTCATTGCATTCCAAAAGATGCTGAATGCTCAGCAAGCATTCATATTAATCCAATTGGAACTGGGTGCCCATTTAAGGTGGTTCTCATTTGCTTTAACCAGAGGAAGGGGGAGGTGTTATGTCATGGGAATGTTTTAGTTTCACATTGATGATTGGCATTATGTTCAAGTTTTTACTTTGAAAACAGTCTCAAGTCTGTTCCAATGTGGGGTAAAGGAAATGCCTGAATAATACTTACTGGTATATAGCATAAACCAGTTTTGTGTAAAATTTTCCATGCTACTTTTCAGGTTTGTTTCAAACATTTAACTACTCTGGGATGAGGTACATCATACAGTTTTATTATTTGACTAAGTCATTATATCAGTGATGGTTGAAAGAGAATCAGCTTTGTTTATCTGACAAAAGAATGTTGTGCTTGAGGAAAACTTTGTGAATTTCTGAAATGTGCATATTAATTTTTTTGTCAATACAGTAGTAATTAGCTTTAACATTTTAAAAATTCTTCCTCCATGGGTTCCAAAGCAATATTTTTTTTAAAAAAAGCAGATATTTAAATATGTTATTAAATTATAAATGACGATGTAAAAGCCTGGGGTTCCATGTGGTCCCCAAGTATCATTTTTGTGGCCCCACAAAGCCCTCTCGTCAGATCACAATTGACAAAAATCAGCCAAATAATTTCCCATCATTTTGAGGTGTTTTGAGCCTGTAAAGTAGTTGTACTGCTAGGGAAATTTCTTTCCCAGACTATGTTTTTATGAATTTTATGCTTTTAATGGTTTTTAATGTTTTGTAATCATTTTTGATGGTGGTGGTAGTAGTGGTTTTTTGTTACTGTTGGGTATGGTTGTTTGCATTTTTTCTGCTTTTAACTCTGTAAGCCACCGAGAGTCACCTATGTATAGCTATATAAATTTATTAAATAAATACACTTTTATAAAACTTGTATTTTCTTAAATTATTTTACTTAAAATCTTTTTTCAAAAATAACACGATACTTAATTTTCCTAATTTTTATGTGCAAAGGAAATAATTCCTCCTTCCCAAAATAGAAAAACACCATGTATTTCAATTTTATTTCAAAAACATGGTGTATTTCAATAGATAGTTGAGCCCTCTGAAGGAAATGGAGCTTCGTTCTGGTATTCTGGTAGAAACATAATTACAGGATTTTCATTTGCATGTTAATATTCTTGAGATTAGCAAAATTTAAACATTTTATGCTAAACTGAAACCATAAATTGTGTCAGTCTCACATTTTATAGCTTTAAAGTACACTGGTTTGTTTTTTAAAAACTGAGAAATTATTTCGGGGAAAGGGGGCTGATTCATGGATGGCTCTAAAAAGTGTGTTGTTGACATCCAACTGATATGAAGCTTCCTATGTATAATATGGGCCAAGCACCATGCTGTAAATCATTTACTATCATGATGATCAGATTGAGAATGAAATTGCATTTCGGTCAATTACTGAGCTGGCAACTGTTCAATATATCTTAGCAGCAAGATGAAGAGCGGCGTCGGCAGCTGAGAGAGAGAGCTCGTCAGCTAATAGCAGAAGCTCGATCTGGAGTGAAGATGTCAGAACTTTCTAGTTACAATGAAATGGCTGCAGAAAAGTTGAAAGAAAGGTCAAAGGCATCTGGAGGTGAGCTAAGGACTTTGTACCTTATTCCTATGGCAACCCAGAAATCTGAGGAAAACCTTTTTGGAATTTGATTTTATTCAGACTTCAGAGTAATTGTTGTTCACCAGGAAAACATTTCTATATATTTTATGCTATATTTCCTAAGTTTGCACAATCAAAGGAATATTCTTCTCCTAACTCAGCAGAATATAGTTACAATATTTGCATTTTCCCTATTTTTTATGTGAGCATGTATGAGGTACGTAGTAAAATTATCTCTAGAAAGAGTATATCAGTGATCCAAACTTAGACCCAAATAGGTGTACTAATGATTTCACTTACCTTTCCTGCTCAGCACCTCCCGAAATTCATTTTCTCAATAAATTCTATTAGTTTATTATTAAATTTATGGTGATAAGTCCTCTTGATGAGTTTCTCTAAAATGCAAAGCTTGGATATACATATTTAGCAAATGAGTATATAAAATAATTTAGGAAATAGTACTTTTAACATTTTAATGCAATAATGTTTTCTCCTAAATAGAAAATGAAATAGAGTCTTTTACAGAGATTCAGATCTATGATTCTTTTGATAAGAATTTTGGAATGAGATAATAAAAAGAAGATGCCATAGTTAAGTTTAATTGTTTCCATACAGCCATTCATGGCTTGCCCAAAATATCTGAATTAATTGCAAGGACAAGATCATGTTTGACATAGTTGCCAAGAAATTTGACAATCAAAACTAAGCAACTATATGCACAAGATATTATTGATTCTGGTCAGACCATACCACATCAGTAACCTTGGATTGCCTTAATTCCCATCTCTTTTACAATGTTCAGTTCTGTTTCTTTTACAAATATCTGCCATTTTGTGAGAACATCTTCCACATAGTTTCTAAATTTCAAATGTGCTTCTGGCCCAACAGAATATGGACTTCTGACATCTGATATAGTGAAGGCTTATTACATTGCATAGTTTTGAGCAAAATTCACCCTTTTATTGGAAAGGCAAATAAGTGTCATTTACTGATTCCTTCTCTCTGGAAACTCCACCCAAATTTATCTGCCCGAGAGAAGCCTCCAGTTTTCTGAAGCGCATTTCCTTTAGGACCTAAACAGCTGGAGGGAGAAGAGAGAATTGCTGAAAATTGCATTCTTCATATTCTATTAAATGAAGGCTTTCATTAATTCATTATTGTGTGCCCAATGCCATGAGCAGGGATTCAACCCTCCCAACAAATTTTTGGCTCTGAATAATCCCACCTTTCTCCCAAAGAAAGATGCTGCAAAGATTAAGCAAAACCAGCTTTTGTTTGCACAGGAAAAGGCAGGGAGACATCTAATCCTGCATAGGTCTGCATAAAGAAAAGTACGTCATTCAGGAGGAGCAAAGCTTGTCTTCCTTATCATGCATGGGCTGACTTTCTCCATATAGGAGGGGGCAGGGACACATTCCTCCTCTTTTCTTTCTAAAGAGAGAAATCAGGTGATGCCACAGGACACCGATTTCTACCAATGGGGCAAAGCTGCTGTTCCTCAGTGCTGCTTTCCTGACATCTTTCAGTTTGTAAGTATGTCTGAACTTGAATGTGATCTTCAAACCATTCAGTCCCCCAGTCTTAGCTTTAACCACATTTTTAGAGAAGCTGCCCTAACCCAACAGATTTCCTGATGGTACTAATTCAGCAACATCTCATGCATTGCTTTTAGGTGGTTCAGTGAGTTAGTCAAGCAGTCCAAGAACAAATAGTGCAGTGGATCATCAGGGATAAACAGGAGCAAAAGGAGGTAGCACAAATGGATCAAAGGGATTTGTCTAGGGTGTTTTTCAGTCAATGTATTTGATTCTTGACAAGAAACAGTACATGTAATCAGAAGACGACCATCAGCAGGGCAGTTAGCAGTTTCCCTGGATGGTGAAAGTCAGCAAGAACCTTCCCAAGAAACAACTTCATATATTTGTTCCTATGGTGCTCCTTGACAAAATATCCATCACATTGTGTTTGAATGTCCATCAAGAGCCTACACCAGCCCAATATCTGATTTTTTTCAGCATAGACCACCTTGTCCTTGAATGGTTGGGTGGACTGGACATTAACATTTGAACTACTGTAAGTCCACGTATTTGCCATACGCTATATATAAATATATATATATTTATTGCAGGGGGGAAAGCAACTAGGACATGATTAGAGAGAAAAAGTAAATGGAGGAGCTGCACAAATGAACAACTCAAGATCTTAAGCCTGATAGGGGTCTCAGGGCCAGACTTCTTCACACTCCTGCTTTCATACATCCTAAGCAGCCAACCTAACTTCCAAGTATTCAGTACAAAGTTTGCAGTCTTTCTTCATACAGCTATTACAAAAGGCTTCCCAATAATTCAGAATCCAAGGCAGCTGCATTTCAAATTCTGTGGAAACCTTCACATATGTAGCTTGAATGTGAGACGCAACCTCCCTGCGGACATTCACAGTTTATGCTCAGATGGTGGGGAAGGGTCTAGTCAGCACATACTGTGTCAGGAGCGTGGCTACTCAGCATGGCCTCACTCCCAGTTCATAAACTGCGACAACACATGAATTGATAAATGCTGTTCTTTTCTCTGTGTTGCTTCTTTGGTTAACCTTGTATTTGGTACATACTTCTTCAAATTGTTGTTGCAGAATGCAAAGATATGCCAACAAAAATAATCAGAGTTGCTTGCATTATTCTGACTTCAAGGTTTTGTACCAATTTTTTAAAGCAAATAATGTTTAGATCTTGTTAGATGGGCATTTTTTTTCAAAGATGAAACCAGTACGGGAAAACTTTTTTTCTGATTGTCTCTCTACAAATTTAGTTTCAAGGCAACACAGCTGATTGACAGATAGACTTGAAGGTCAACTTTGTGTGCTCATTAAGTTCCCAGATAATATTTTTGGTTGTTAATAATAGTGAAGTGAGAATGCTGACCAAAGTATAGATTTCAGCAATATGTTGTCATATTTAATTGGTTATCCTATGATTACAAGCATAAGAACTAGGCTTCTGGGTAAATAATATCCACCTCACCAATGTACTGTTTCCTAGGGTTAGTTCCCACTTACTTATACCAATTGATATCAAAGTAATGTTGCACACTACATAAAAGGGATTGGGGAAATCCCATCATTAAAAAAATGTTACAGAATTGAAGTTACTTTTCTGTGAGGAAGCACTCTATCATATGAGACCTTGCCAGCATAGAATAAATTAGACTTTTGGTAGACAACAATCTTTTGGCTTTCCAGATATTTGCTAAGCTATAACTATTAGCATCCCCCTCATTGGGCACATTTCCTAGAGATCCTGGGTGTTATAATTCAGCAATATTTGGAGATCCATGGTTGTATATCCACATCCTAGGCTTTCCATTTTTTACCTCTGTTCTGCTCTCTAGTCTTAAAAAGAGTAGATTCTCTGTGCCAAACATGTGAGAAAAAATTAAATTAAAGTCAAAGCCCACATAATAAACGTTGGAACTACAGAAAGTCCTCAATTTACAACTACAGTTAAGACCAGAATTTCTGTCATAGTCACTGTGGTTGTAAGCGGAATCAGATCCCATTTTATGACAATTTGTATAGTAGTTGTTAACCAAATCTGGCTTCTCCAGTGGGTGCTTTTTGCCATAATATTGTAAATCACAATTATGTGACCACAGAATGTTGCAACTGATTATAAATACAAGCTAGCATTAATGTCAAGCACCTGAATTGCAATCATTTGACTGCCGGGGTGACACAACAGCTGTAAGTACAGTTCATAAGTCACTTTTCGCAAGGCAGTTGTAACTTTGAATTGTTGATAATTGATAAACAAATAATAAGTTGAGGACCACCTGTATTTCAGGTGCTGAAGTGTCATTATTGAGTCCATGAGAGGGTGTTATATCCTTTTTCATGCATATTTCAAGGAACTTTGGTGGTATTTTGTATTCCTTAGCCATCCAGTTTATTTTCTAACCATCTCTGCTCTTCATTTGATATATCAAGCACATAGTCTGACAGGATTCTTTAAGTCATCAGAGACTTCCCATACCAATTTTTTAAAAAGCATTTGTCCAGTAAAGTCTTGTGATTGATAGACAGTTTGGTCTACTGTAAGGCACCAGGCTAGAAAGCAGGAGTCCCACCTTAGCCATGAAAGCCCACTGGGTGACTTTGGGCCAATCACTCTCTCTCTCAACCCAACATACCTCACAGGGTTGTTGTTGTAGAGAAAATAGGAGGAAGAAGAAGTGGATGAAATATTTCATGCCTTGAGTTATTTGTAAAAATAATAAAAGCAGGATACAAATCAGTCAGTCAGTCAATAAAATTACAGTTCAAGAAATCAAAGCTAAGACTAAGACTCTAATGAGAAACTGCAGTGTCAGCCATGTTTTTTTTCACATGTCTGTCTCTGTTTTTTACATCAAAAGAGGCACATAGTTATCTCACCTTCCTGATTTTCCTCATTTGAGGCATTTTTTTGCAAACCTCTCTGAAGGCAGATTTGGAGGAGAGGACAAGTTATTCATATTCTTCCTTTTCTCTGAATGTTTAAGATAGCCTATGTGAGAATCCCCACTAATTTTACCCCAACAGCAATCATTCTTTAAGTAAGATTGCTCTGAAAGAGAATGATTTAATCATGTCACCCTGGGAGTTCTGTAGTTGAGTAAGAATTTAAGTCTTCCCAAATGTTCAGCGGTTCGAATCCCTAGTGCTGTGTAACAGGGTGAGCTCCCGTTACTTGTCCCAGCTTCTGCCAACCTAGCAGTTCGAAAGCACGTAAAAAATGCAAGTAGAAAAATAGGGACTACCTTTGGTGGGAAGGTAACAGCGTTCTGTGCGCCTTTGGCATTTAATCATGCTGGCCACATGACCACAGAGACATCTTCGGACAGCGCAAGCTCTTCAGCTTTGAAACGGAGATGAGCACTGCCCCCTAGAGTCGGGAACGACTAGCACATATGTGCAAGGGGAAACTTTACCTTTACTAAATGCAAATC